CTTTGATCAATCCCTGTATTGGGATTATAAACCCAGACTCCTGATCCCTACCTTTGATCAATCACTGTATTGGGATTATAAACCCAGACTCCTGATCCCTATCTTTGATCAATCCTTGTATTGGGATTATAAACTCAGGCTCCTTGTCCCTACCTTTGATCAATCCCTGTATTGGGATTATAAACTCAGACTTCTGATCCCTACCTTTGATCGATCCCTGTATTGGGATTATAAACCCAGACTCCTCCAAAACTGGAATTCTTCTCAAATACGGTAGGAATGCAACTAAAAATAGATTAAAGATAAAACATTTTACATTAAATATCGACACATATAAAAAATAAGGTAATTCATTAGGTTTAAACCTAGGGTTTCCTACTAAAAATGACAATTAATGTTAGCTAGTAGATGTGTGTCTTTCTATGAGACTATTGACGCATGGAAAGTTCCGGTTTTACAAGAACTTTTAAATACAAGAACGAATAATTTATTTATTGAAGGATTCGATGACTACGTAATAACTGAAATGATAAATATGTTATGTAATGAATAATGATAAATGTCGTCAATTTGTGCATAATTTTACATGTTTTTCTCTATTCTTTTGGAAAGCTGTGTTTTCAAAAATTTATATATATGTATTTATATCTTTGTGTGTGAGTAAATCTTTATAATCTTTAATCTTTTCTGAAATCCGATGGTTGTTTAAATATAGCCAGCCAAACGGCTGGGCCAAATGGGCTGACATTTTTTGTGGACTCATGGGTGGCCGGGGGGTGTCTAAGGCTAAAATATGGACTTTTTTCAATTTTTTTGAAATATTAAAGAAAATTCAATTTTTTTTCCACGGGCAACGCCAGGACCTTCACCAAGTACATATAAAGATTATAACTCAGGAACTCCTGGTGCGATTTGCCTCAAATTTTGATTCAGGAACTCGGGAGTCCCACGGGAATGTTCTCAGCTTGGTTTTGAGATTCTAAATTGAGTAGTTCCATTGGGAAATTAGTTAATATTTAAAATTTAAACATTTAAAATTTACGATAAAGGACCTACTGGTAAACGGTGGGACTAAGGTTATAATGTAAAGAAAGTTATTTCTTAGGAGTACGCATCTTTTGTACTGCAGTGTACTGTCTCTGGGCTGTAATGTAAACACAAGATGGATGTCGAAGCCTGACATGTGATTCATCTATCACATACAAAATCAATGAAATATTCTGGTCATATGAAACAATTATGTGAATTATCCAAATTATCAAAATTTAATGCTTTTAACCTCCTCGGATACTAAACGAACACTGATGCATCTATTCCTCTTTACAAATTCCGCCCAGAGAGAACTGGTTTTAATATGTACGCAGAATATACGCATGTGCATTAAACTTTCCTTGCATTATAACCTTGTTGTTCAGCAGGGTTGGACTAACTATGACTATGGGTAATGCTGGGTTCCCAAGATATTCGTTTATAGAATAGTATTTTTTGTTAATTACTTGTAAGTATATGCAACATGACGAGCTGCATTTAGCCCTGCAGCTCCTGCTCCAACAATTGCAATCTCCATTTTTCTATTTTTTCTGAAATTAAATCTCCTTTTAAATTTGATAATAAAACCAATATTCTTCCAAAATAATACAGTGACCGAATTTAAGGAATTGGAGGAAGGTCGCTGAACCCCTTACCTACTTCTCATATCCTGAATCTTCGATTCAAAGTTCGAGATTTTAAATAACTCTAATTTAAGGTAAGCTGATGTAAAGCAATTTTCCTACAATTCCAACGAGTTAATTGAAACAAAGCTCGGCGCTTAGGATAGTTCAGTATTTTCAAACTTCAAGTTGAACCAGCTATGTATATTGTTTAACTTGAAGTTGACCCAGCTACGTATATAGTTTAACGACTTTTCGCAATTAAAAACCTCTGTGTCATGTTTAATTTGATAATTTTAGTGGAAAATTTCGGTGGCAAAATTTTTGCTAAAAAAATATTATTTAAAGCTCATGTGTTTAAAACCTTTTTCATAATACACCAAATTTTCAGAATAAGAAACACAACTGAACTAACCTATCCTACCACTAAAAGCACGTTCCATTAGCGCCTGATCCAATCAGGGTTCAGTCATGTGTTTGGTGTATATTCTGAACCAATAGAGATCGTATTGCTGTAACATCCATCTATTTATCAATCTCATCATCCAATCATAGATGAATACTTAAATCGGCGCTAAACAGTAAATGGTAATATTTACTTCTACTAAAACTGAATTAAACAACATGTTTTAAATAAACGTGAGTAATGTCAAATCTTTTCAGCAGACTTTTTATAGGGGTCCCACGTACGAAACAGACAGTTGAGAGGGGGCTTGCAGGTCGTCTTTGATCGTTGAAACAATTTGCGGCATTCATCTGTTAACCTGATTCGAGAAGTAAAACCCTTGAATTTCCCAAATACCCAGACATTTGGGGAATTTCCCAAATGCCTAGGTTTTTAGAAAGCTCACCAAATATCCAGTCATTTGAGAAATTTCCAAAATCTTAAAAAATTCCACTGTGGCGGCGTAGTGGCGGAAGACGAGACTTTTGAGGAGTTTTGAACCTAAGATCTAGACGCGGCAAGATGAGCAACTTCCGGCCACGTCACCTATCTAGCTGTTTAATATTTTACGTTTCTATAAATTTAAGTTCAAAAATTTAGTAATAAAGTAATTATTTAAACCAGGCGTTTGTCAAACTGAGCGTAGCTAAACCACCCTCAAATACCTATGGGAATTTGGGGAATTTCCCAAATTCCTGGGTATCTGGAAAATGTCCCAAATGCTTGGGTATCTGGGAAATTTCCCAAATGCTTGGGTATCTGGGAAATTTCCCAAATGCCTGGGTATCTGGGAAATTTCCCAAATGCCTGGGTATCTGGGAAATTTCCCAAATGCCTGGGTATCTGGGAAATATCCCAAATTCCTGGGTATCTGGGAAATTTCCCAAATGCCTGGGTATCTGGGAAATTTCCCAAATGCCTGGTTATCTGGGAAATTTCCCAAATACCTGGTTATCTGGGAAATTTCCCAAATACCTTTAGATATTTGAGTGTGGTATATTTTTAAGATTTTGGAAATTTCTGAAATGACTGAAAATTTGGGGAACTTTCTATAAACCTAGGCATTTGGGAAATTCCCCAAATGTCTGGGTATTTGGGAAATTCAAGGGTTTTACTTCTCGAATCAGGTTAACAGATTTGGGGAATTTGGGGAATTTCCCAAATGCCTAGATTTTGGGAAATTCCCCAAATTTCCAGTCATTTGAGAAATTTCCAAAATCTTAAACATATACCACCCTTAATAACAGTAGGAATTTCGGAATTTCCCAAACGTCTGGGTATCTGGGAAATTTTACAAATGCCTGGGTATCTGGGAAGTGTCCCAAATGCCTATTTTAATAAAAAATGTAAATGCTGTCGTGTCATGTTATCCACAAAGGATTCAGGTATCAGAAACGATTGTTAAAAATGGAACTGTATGTTTAATGGTATTTATAGTTCCCTGCAACTTGTATAAAGAGTTTTTAGTCGTCTTTACATTTCTTTGTGGGTATCCCTGGACCGATATGACTGTATGAGTTTAATGCCTTTGTTTTTAATTTGAGACTGTGAAGACCTTTTTAGTACAGTAAGACCCATAAAACTTTGGAATAGAAGGAAGACTTTTAGACTCAAGTTTTGAGATACAGCCCATTTTAATGTATGCGGGATTTAATACGTATTATACAGGGTGTCCCAATAAACATGGGAATTCAGTGACGAATTCGATATCGTTGGCATTTTAGGAGTAACATGTGGTTTATATCTCATCATCAACAAAGAACACACAGTCGAGAGAATTTAAACTTCTTTACTTTTTTCTTAAGTTTAAAACAAAAATTTTGTATATGACATAATCCTATATAAACATCTTTATTGTATAAGTGAAAAAATATTTTCAAAAAAATCTGTTCTGCAGCTATAACAGCTTGTTGAATAGATTTCTGTAAATAGATAATTTATTCCTGAGAAAATATTTTTTATATTTTATTGAGAGTGTAACGTAAATGTCAAAGTGGATATGCGAGGTAAAACATTACAAATAATTGAGTCGTTGTAACAAACTCAAATTTTTAATCCGTATATGTTTGCAACTGTAGATAGTAAAACCTTTCATATTTCAAACTTATGATATTAAATCTAACAGAATTCATAGTTTGAAATATCTAAGGTTGCAAAGATTTAGAGATTATAAATCAGAGCTTGCGTTTTTTCCGGAGTTTGTTTTGATTTGAATCAAGATTTTATATTGCTCGTGCTAACACAGTAAATAATCACCTAACGAGCTTGGCGTAAAGAGCAAAGGTCTTGTCTAATGAGTCCACAGATTACACGGATGTGAAAATGCAATTTTTTCAATAATTCAAATTTTATAAAAAGCTCTGTCTGCTCTATCTTTATGGAACTTCAAGCATTTTTGCGATTTCATTTTAAAAACATTTTAAACGTTTAAAAGTTATTTAATGAAGAAACACAGAGCCCTGTGGCTCAAAGTTTCTCTTTGATGAGCAATAAATAAAAATAATATGATATGTATAAATATATAAATAAAAATTTCTTCAGCGAAAATTCCGTTCAAACAACGCAAAATGTGAACGAAAACGAAAATTTTTGTTCATTTTCGCAAAAATTGTCGTTAAAATTTTTTCGCGAGATTAGTTCGGAATTTCGAGAAATTCGTAAAATTCGTTCGGAACTTTCCTTCAAATATTTTTTTTGCAAAAATACAATATTCTTGATAAGAAATGGAAAAATTTCGATTTTTATAGAACGGAAATTGAACGAAAATTTCGCGAAAATGAGGTCGAAAATTTTATCGAAATTCGCGAACATTTTTAACAAAAATGAACGAATTGCGTTCGTTCAATTTAGTAAATTTCGTTCAACGAAAATTTCGATGAAAACCCTAATACAAATGTGTTCACCTATTTCATCTGCAGATTTCTTCCATGAATACATCAAGCAGGCTTCATCCTTTAAACAGGTTTGAACCTGGGAGCTAGCACGCCGGTCAAAACTGAAATAATGTTTTTTCTTCTAAATTATTGGAAAATTCCTTCCGAAAGGAAATATTACTTGTAATCTATTTAGTTTTACATCAAATGAATAATATATATATATATGTATACATACTTTAATTATCGACAAAAAATGCAATATAATGGGACTTTTTTCATGTCCAAATATGACAAATGAAAGCTCTAGTGCTTTACTGTTGAAATCTGCCAAAAAATTTGTAAATTTTTTTAAAAATTTAATTTTTTTCTCGCAAAATCCAGTTATTAAAAAAATGTTTGCAAAAAAATATTGAAAAAATTGATAAAACATATCATTTTGAAAAGCCCTTGACCATGCCATTTTAAAAATGCAAATATTTTTGCAAAATTTTAGATAACCTGATGTGTAATTAAGAAAAACTAAAAGTGTGCAAATTTCTGTTGACGGTTTGTATGCAAATAATTTGCTCAGAAAGGAGTTAAAAGAAATGAAATTGGTCAGAAATGGAGGTAAAAGAAAGAAAGTGTTCAAAAAGATAAAAGGTAAAAAAAACTTTTACGCGGAAGAATTATGTTTAAAGAAAGACAGAAATAAATCTGTGTGCAATTTGCAAAGTCCTGAATAGCATCAAGGACGGAGAAAGATTAGTTTAAAACATGCAATGTGAACATAAATGGACAATGAACATGATTCATTTTCCAACCTTTCAGTCGTACATTATCGTACATGGTGTCCCGAAAACATGGGAATTGAGAGACGACTTGAAAATCGTCTTTGTTGTCCGATATTTGATAAAATGACAAAAAGTTTATCATAAATGATTGTATGTCTCCCCTATATGGTCTGCATTCTTTATTTCTTTAAGATTAACGGAGATATTGAACAATTTTTTTTTATCTAATAAAAGGAAATTTGGGCTGATTTCTCGATAAAAATGGCAGACACCATTTTTGAATTCCCGAACTAGTAGTTTCAGATGTTAATTGCTTTAACTGGCATACTACTAAACTTGTTTTCACTACCGCACTTAACAGAAACGATTTTGAAGTTGTCACTTTATTCCCATGTTTATCAAGATGCATTTCAATTATACTCAGAGGGAAAAAGAAAAAAGGAAACAAAAAGAACGAGAACCCACACATTTCGCCTTTTTAGATGAAATGGGCGAATTTTTTCACTGAAACTCAGTAAGTTTGTACGGGTCCCACGTTCTTATGTATTAGTCGTTTTTTAATCCTTTTTTCCTTAAATGCGCAAAAGATAAAAGTAAAATTAGTAGCGATCCATGTCGAATTCAATCCGATATCAGCCTATACCACCTTTCACTTTTCGCGAACACTCCCTTTAATGAATGGTAAATACCTGTCACACTTCTTGTTTGGATTAAGTAAGGATCCACATGAGTAGCATTGTAACCCTGGTTTGTCAGGGTGGAAAACCTGCTTAACATAGAACACATCATTCATAGAGAAGCATTCAAGGAGAATGATTCATAGACAAGTATTCATTGAGAAGTATTCCTAGAGAAGTATTCATTGAGAAGTATTCATAGTAAAGTATTCATATAGGGAAGTATTCAAAGAGAAGAATTCGTTAAGAAGTATTCATAAACAAGAAACAATGAATCATACAATCACAACAAGAACGTATATTTACATTTAAACAATGTTTAGCCCGATAAATGTTTAAAAAATAAATTAATCACAACTTTTTATAAAACTTCTCTATTATGTGTTTGCCTGTTGTTTAGCAGTATCTGTTGCCACCTGGAGTCGGTTCGTCTCTAGACGATCGGGGAAAGGACGATTTGGCTCAGTTTTAGGAGGGGTAGAGATCGTCCGAGGAACTTCCTATAATCGCCATTATCATCATTAGTTTCTGTTATACTATTATCATTACGAACTCTTTATCAGTATCATCATTATCATGAATCATCATTATCATGAATCATTGTTATCTTTATTAAAGGTACTGTCGACGTAGTTTCAAGTGAGCCTCCATTTAAAGAGTTAAACGCCGGTTTACAACAGTAAAAATAAAACCTATTGCTGCGCAAAAACTATGAATATATTTTCTTGATAATGGCTAAGCGCCTTTTCTCTAAAAAATTAACCTTTCAGATTTATGAAGCAGACAAGGAAGGAAATCAACAGAATTCGTCTATTCGCAAGATATAAAAACCTTTGCTATTCCGGCATTTAACTCATTTAATAGAAGCTCATTTGAAAATATACCGACAGTTCCTATGTTATCATCATCATTAACATTATGACATTATCATAATTAATATCATTATCAATAATTCATTTTTGTGATATTAATTCACCAACAGTAATACTTCAATCATAATAAAAATATGAGCTTACTAGCTGAAATGTCCGGCGTTGCCTGTGAAGTTTAAAAAAATTTCTAATTTAGAAAAAAAAACATTTCGAATTTGTTTTAGCCTATGTTATCCTCATGCTATTCATGGCCGTTCACTCAAAAAAATGTAATGTTTTCTTTTGAGAGTTTTAATGAGGTGGAAAATTGATGTGATTTTTTATTCTTAATTTTTTGCAATATTTACCTGCTTAACTGGTTCTTGTCGAAGAGGGCTAGCCTGGGGTCGTTCAGGAACAGGATTTCTGCTCGGTTGGGGTCTTTCAGGAGGAGGTTGGGATTGAACGGAGCTAGGTTGAGATTGAGCAGGACTAGGGTTAGGCCTAGGAGAAGAATTCTCATCTGGTCCCCTGTAAGAGTTACAGAGGTCGGATTCACACAGACAGGCTGATATCCTGAAAACATACAGGTATTACACGAAACCCTGAATAAGACAGATTTTTCCAACTGCTTCCTACAACTATCCGGAATGATAATTAACATGTGTTTTAAATTGACAAAAAAAAACTTAATATTAATGAAAATATCAATTGAAACATTGAACTAACCGAGATATACTTAAATATGAATATTTATATATATTTATTTAATTTGATAAAGAATTTGCATAGAGATACTTAGTTTAATGAAGAATTAACATTGACATACTTAGTTTAATAAAGAGTTAACATTGACATACTTAGTTTTATAAAGAATTAACATTGACATACTTAGTTTGATAAATAATTAATATTGACATACTTAGTTTTATAAAGAATTAACATTCACATACTTAATTTGATCAAGAATTAATATTGACATACTTAGTTTGATAAAGAATTAATATTGACATACTTAGTTTGATAAAGAATTAACATTGACATACTTAGTTTGATAAAGATTTAACATTGAAATACTTACTTTGATAAAGAATTAACATTGACATACTTACTTTAATAAATAATTAACATTGAAATACTTAGTTTGATAAAGAATTAATAATGAAGTACTTACTTTGATAATGAGCTCTCTGAGATATCTGTAGGACTACAAGTAGTTTCTGGTAAAAGTGGATTCTCTATAGAACCCAGTAGAATAGAAGTTGAGAAACATTCCCTGAAAAAAAGAATCTGATGAGTAAAATTAAAAACTAGAATTAAATTAGTAAATTTTAACGCTTTTTTGATTTATCAAGTTTAAAAGCTGAACATTATAATTCAAAAAATGACCCCATATCCTGAACAATTAATTACATAGTTAAAGGGAGTGTTCGCGAAAAATGAAAGGGGGTATAGGCTTAATGCGATAAAAAAGCGCTTTTGATCGCCACTAATCTTACTTCTATCTGTTGCGTCTATAAGGAGAAAATTGTTAAAGACGTCTCATACCGAATAACATGGCGGCCATACAAATTGAGAAAATTGCAACATACGACTTAGAC